ATGGCCCTTACATCTCCAAGTCCTAAACCTCCAAGGATGAAAACCCTACAGTCGTACACCCTGCCACCATGGAGCTACACCCCTAAGCATGAAACTGCTAGAGCTCAAAACCCTACATCGCCCTACATCCCAAAATCCAAAACCCTTAGACCTGAAACCCCACATCCTTACTCCGAAGATACCCGGACACCCAAATCCTAAACCTTGTAACCCTAAACCCTCAAGCCCAGGATAAATACAAATTGCTTAGAACACAAAAGCCGAAACCCGGTCAAAACCTGCACAGAACCCGCACAAAACTCAGGACCTGAACCCTAAACAGTTTGTATAAAGACCTTAAGCCCTAAAGCCTAAACCCAAACCCTCAGTCTTAAACCCTAAACCCCAAACTAAGACCCCGATGTGCCCTAAAAGCTGTCGAGGAGCACATCCGCCGTGGATGCCGCTCAGCTGAGTGGCGAGAGCCGCCCGGAGGGTCTTCGGGGGAGGGGCGGGGGGGTCAGGGGCTTTGGGCTTTAGGGTTTAGGCACGGGGGTTTAGGGTTTAGGGTTTAGGCACGGGGGTTTAGGGTTTAGGGGTTTGGGCACGGGGGTTTAGGGTTTAGGATTTTATTGTTTAGGGTTTAGGGATTAGGATTTTATTGTTTTGGGTTTAGGGTTTAGGATTTTATTGTTTAGGGTTTAGGGCTTTAGTATTTAGGGCTTTAGGGGTTTAGGGCTTTAGGGTTTAGAGCTTTAGGGCTGTAGGGTTTAGGGCTTAGGGGTTTGGGGCTTTAGGATTTAGGATTTTACTGTTGAGGGCACGGTTTCAGGATATACCTACAGTCTTCATTGTAGTTCCTGTTTTGGTTAACCAAATTTACATTTTCGGCTCCTAACCATAAAGATTGGTTAACCCAAAAAGGAACTACAATGGAGACTATAGGTAGTTGAGGGGTTTAAGTTTGGGGTTTAGCGCGCTTAAAGAGAGGGAAACACAAACAAGGCAGATTCATACAAAAAAACAAGGGGTGTTGTGCCGATGTGGGGTGGCCTGGGTTCGGGACCCTGAACCCTAAACCCTAAAACAAAACCCCCAAACCCTAAAAACCCTAAACCCTTAACCCTAAAGCCCTAATTACTAAAGCCCCAAAACCCTAAAACCCTAAATTGTGGTAGCGTTTCCCGATGCAGGCTTGGGACTTCGGGCTCCAGTTCAGGATTGCTTGCTGATGGTGTACCTACCCATAGGCTCCTTAGTAGTTCCTTTTTGGGATTACTTTATAGGATTCTGAATATGAACCATAAAAAGGAACGACTTAGGAGCCTATGGGTACAGTCTCCATTGTAGTTCCTGTTTTGCGTTACTTTATTGGGTCCTACTTGTGAAACATGCAGACTTTAGGTATGTTCAGGATTTGAGTTCAGGACATGGTTACAAGAGTATAGGAGGCAGGTGGGACTTCGGCGCCCATTCACGCTGGGACGCGAAGTTTCGATTCTGGCACCTTAAACCGTTGACTTTAAGTCTGGGTTTAGGGTTTAAAGGTTTAGGGTTTAAGGGTTTAGGGTTTAAGGGTTTAGGGTTTAGGGGGTTTACGGTTTCAGGGTTTAGGGTTTAAGGTTTCAGGGTTTAGGGTCTAGGGTTAAAGGTTTAGGGTTTAGAGTTTAGGGTTTAGAGCTTAGGTTTAGGGTTTAGGGCTTCTACTACTACTACTACACTACTACTACTACTACTCTCACTACTACTACTACTACTACTACTACTACTACTATTCGCAACTAATTACAACTAATTGCTGCTAATTACTGCTACTACGACGACGACGACGAGCACTACGACGACGACGACGACGACTACTACTACTACTAGTCTTGCTTCTGCTGGTGCTCCTCCTGTCACTGCTGCCACAGCGCTCAATCCTTTGAACCTTGTGGCATGCAGCTATGTATGGCATATGCTGGAAATTTGCGACATGCCTGCAAAGCCCTGCTTGGGGAACGAATAACGGTCCGCAGAAACGGCGTCCATGAGCCGAGTATGAAGTAACATTGGTCCCTCAGACCTGTCGAACACCGCCGGTGCTTCTGGCTCACAGCTCCTGGGCCTGCGACACGTAGTCCAGTCGAACTCAGGTGCGATCTGAGGGCTGGTCCCGTCGTCGTCTCAGCCGATTCTTACATGCTGGGACATCGAGATCAGACAGTTGCCACTTCGAGAATACCGGCAGGCCACCATGCGCCTTGGGAGGAGGCGGCCTTTGTTGCATTCATGGCAGTGTCGCTGCTGGTGCGATGGGTTGTGATGCATCGAACTCTCCAAATGCTTCGGCTCCAGTGCGGGCTTCGAAGTGCAAGCTCACGGGTAGCTTGAGCACGTCGCAGGGGAAGTCACATGGCGCAGGTGTCTTTGAGCATTGCCGACCTGGGGAGCATTTGCATCCACCTGTCGAGCTTCCTGCGTAGTTCCGAGGTCGCCCGCTCCGAAGAAGCTGGGATTTGTTCCAAGGATGTCGCAAGATTCTTATGGCGGAAAGCCGCAATGGCCCATCTTGCACATATTCCCATATGGGGCCCTTCGGGGAATTTCGTTATCCAACAGCTGTTGGATTCCGGTGTGCAGGGCAAAGCCTTTCTACGAGAATTGCTGCTTCTGAGACGAGCTGTCTTTCCTCCGAAGTCTTGGTGCCCTGCAATTCAAGAGACATCTTTCAGCAACCTCAAGGCCGCGCGGGGGACAGCAGGACTGGGTTCAGCAGCAATCCATCTCGCGCTCTGTGCCATTTGCCCCATCTTCCTCCGTTTCCCCATCCTTCATGTAGCTCCGCCTTCCTCCCTCCCTCCGGTTCCTCTGCTTGTATTGGAGTCTGCAACAGACCGCCACAAGACATCATGTGCTGCAGGTGCTGCCATGCTCGCAGCAGGCGGAAGATACGGACAGCCAGGCGCAGCAAGACGCTGTGGTTCCAGTGGAGGCAGCTACCAAAGCGCAGAGCCGATGATAGCAATCTACTAACTAATAAACCTTCATAACAATGGAGTGATAAAGAGCCGTGATGCAGGCTGCGGTGCCGTTGGCCACAGGCACCAGGCTTGGACAGCCACTAGCGGCGGGCATGGAGCTGAAGGCTGCCAACGACGAGAGCTTGAAGGCCGAGGATGTGAGCTCCGGCTTCTGCCTCGGGGCACCTCGAGCGCATTGGAACAAATGTTAGCGTTCATGTGTGGAAGCCTCGCAACCTAGCATTGAAGGGCATCTCGAAATGCTGAGATATGAAGCGGTGTTGTCGTTCATGCTGCTACGATTGGCGGTTTCTAGATGAGAATCACAAGATAGACTTTTGCCCATCTGTCAGGGCGGTCCAAATCATCAGCGTCGTGTATGTATGTTTGCGTTTGTGTGCATGCTCTTCACCTCAGCTGGCGTCGGTTCGTTTCCCATCTCTTGATCGCGAGGTGGAGATCTGCGCTGGCCACGCAGATGGCCGCAGCATGTCAGTGATGTTTGCTCCTTTTGCGGGGCTTTGCTACATGCAGTACGGCGGCGAAAGATGTGTGATGTGTGCGACAGTCCTCCCGCCGGTTGAGGGAACAGTCACAAAGCTTCGTGCCTGGGTTCAAGTCACTGAAGAGGGCGGCCTTTTCTTTTTGCGACAAGATCCAGAGTCGGCAAAGATCGAGGAGACGGGCCTCATTCCCCAAGAAGCTCTTCCTTGCTGGAAATCAGAGTTCTTCGCTTGTATGTATTTTTGGCGAGATCATCTGTTGACACCCATCATGTCAACTGTGATCCATTCCGGGAAGACGCTTCCGGGTGACTTGCCGCAGCTGGAAGGATCTCACATCGAGGTTGATACTACCTGGCACTTAACAGGATGAATTTGGACTTTAATTTGCTTGGAGCCGAGCTACAAGCTGAGAGCGTGGCTCTCCCAGAGGGGTGACATATATGCATGGCACACGGCTCCTTCTTGGGACGTCGAATGCAAGAAGTAACTCTGTTATGGAATTTTCGCGCTTCGGCATCCCTTTCTTGGCAAGCGATGAGCTTGTCACTCTTGCGGATGTGAGGCTCTTAACGAGGCTAACTCTACTTGCTTACAATGGGGTGATTCTGGTGCATTTGCTGTCAAGTTTTGTTCTACTCCTTGTTTGGGTGAGGTGGCGGGAAGACGCGTCTGTTTGTTCAAGTTTGGATAGCTGGTGATACTCGTATATGGTGCGCTCAAAGTGCAAGAAGGACTCTGGCTAGACTCTGATAGCAGAGCCATTGGGCATCAATGCTGGCTGCTCTGAACGGAGCCAACAAGTTTTCCCACGTGCTCGGTCATCGTGGAGTAGCAGCCAGGGATTGTACAGAAGTAAAGCTCCGGCAGCGGCAGGAGAGACAACAATCTTCCTCACAGGGTCCAGGAATGTGCGGCAGTATCCTAAAGTGACTGCTGGCATCTGCGACTGCTGCCCTGGCATATCGTCTGGAAAGATTCCAGATAGCTGGAGTTGGCATTTTATCTTGCAGTGCCATCTGCATGCGCACAGTGGTGCGAGCCCTTCCAGCTTTTCTTTGCCAGCAGCTGAGCCCATGTCTCTCGCAGGGCTCCCAGATATGCCAAGGCGCTAGCTGTTTGGAGCTCAGGTTCAGTTTGGGGCCCTGCGACAGTTCTACTTGACCTTCATTCTGCACCCTCCAGGTTGGTGCTATGGTTGCTGTACTCTCCAGGAACCTGCAGCAAGCGATGCGCCGCTGAGCTAAACATGGCTGTCCAGCTCGCTTGCTTCCCGACTGCTGAGTGGACAGGCAGACGACGCACGGTGCGCCCTACTCCTCTTGTCCGTTGTTACCCGCGCCGCTCTCATCGTCGGCCATCGGAATGCTGGACTGGAGCAGGCAGCCTTTGTTGGCGCCCTCGGCGGTGAGCCTAGTCACCCGAGTTAGACGAGCAGCTCGCGTATTGCTATGCTTGATGTCTGCAGACTCCGGTTTCAGGTCCTGAGAGGCAGCCTTTGAATGCCACGACTCTGATGGAAGTGTTTCGGGAGCTCTTTTTGGTACTTCTGTTGCAGACTTGCCAAACAGCTGGGCTGGGTCCGGACCGGCCTATACTCGGCCAGGACGATGATGCAGATGCAGATGTGTTCCCGCGAGAGGAGCAATAGAAAGAGCCAATGCTAGCAGAGAATTGTGCTGCCAGAAGACAGAATTCTGGCAGCAGGACTTGCCGCGTGCTCTGCCTCTGGAGTACCAAGTTCATGCTGGAGCTCCACAGCTGCAATGAAGATTCTTCCAGAGGGACTCTGTTGCGTCCTGGTCGTCGTTCCTTGTCGTGGTTGGTGCACCCCGTCGCGTCCAGCACCGCCAGGCAGGGTCTCCCCAAACCGGGGAGATTCACTGTTCTGCTGCAGGGGCTGTAGCAGGCCACTTGGCTTGACTTGTCTCTATGTCAGGTTGAAGTTGGCAGTCATCTAGTTCGATTTGTTCACCGGCACCGGAAACGAGTGTATGTATGTATATATATATATATCTTTTCATATGTATTTTTTTATATGTGTATATGTATATCCACACATAATCCAAGCATGCGACGCTTGCTGCAGGAGCTGTAGCAGGAGATGTAGTAGCCTTGTGATCCACAGGGTGAGTAAAGTTGCTGTAGACTTTTCAGATGGCATCCCGAGGACAGGAATCTGTGCTCTTGCCTCGGCTGCTTTTCACCAGCTGCAGCCACCATTTCTACATGTTCCCAGAGCCAAAGGCTGGACAGCTGGCAACTTCAATACAAGAAGCGTGAGGACCTCGTTGAGCCGGGTCAAACCGAAAGGGAAGTTTCATGAAATTTCCCAACGACCGAGGCTTACCCGGTCTGGGAGCAAAGCTTCGAGGATGGCAGCCGAGCCTCTCAGCGACAGTCGCCAGCAGTGGTGGCCACCTCAGCTTGATCTTCATGAGCGCTCTCTGGCTCTGTCTCGTCGGAAGCCAGGCAACTCGGCGTCTTTGAGATGGCCTCAAGCTAAGAGATGATCTCACCTGCCCCGTGTTTATCTAGTGTCAGAACGTTTGAGGTCAAAAGCTCTGCTACCAGATGAAGAAGCCCCCTCTCCTGAGCGGGGGACCGGCCTGACGTGGGAGTGGACAGTCTTGCAGACAAGCTTTCTGAGGCAGGCGGATGGTACTGGTTTGGACCTGCATTTCGAAAGCTTCCTGAAGGCGTCCTTCGTTTCAGTTTGGGTTCCTGACAAGCATATCGAGCAATTCCAGGCCGCCCAGCCGCAAAGTGTCTCCAAAGCTGAGAACGAGTGGGAACAGCTGCAAGCCGAGTCCGTGTGTCGACTCAAAGAGATGTGCATCGCCGTGCCAGATCTATGCCTCGCAAAGGCGTGCGGAAGTAGTGATTGGTCCACGTGCCCAAGCAAAGTATCTCAACTTCAGTGTGTCACTCGGACCGCTGTGGCACGTGCCTGGAGCAAAGCTTGCCTTCGCGAGGCTTGCCGGTGGGCGTTGCCTTGGGCGCGGTCGTTTCCTCCAGGCCAAGAAAGACCACGTGCAACGATCATTCCTTCTTGCCACGTTCGACTTGTAGGGTTCAGCCTGATGATGACGGCAGACCAGGTCGCTTGAATGTAGACTCTACTTGCTCGCTTCAATGCGTAAAGATCTTGAGATCTTCAGGCACACCGCCTTGGCATCCAAAGTTCTTTGCAAGAGTCTTAGCTAGCTTGAGACGATCGCTCGCGATCGCGAACGATCCTCCGCCCTTCTGTTCCTTTCTTTGTGAGAGGCCGAGCTGAGCTGGCCAGGACTCTACGAGCTTCGGCCCTGGAGAAGAAAGCCCGGCTCCGCTGTCGCGACTCTCGCCGAGGCTCTGCGGATGGCTGCTGGAAGCTCGGACCCTCCACCGGAAAGTCGGCGCTTTGAGTGGTCAGGCCGGCCGGGGCCGCCAAAGTCTGTAAAAGCTCTTTGGGCTTCTTGGTGCCTCCAGGCGATGCGGGCATGGAGCAGCGAGAGCCTTGGTTCGCATGCCTTGCCCTGCCACCGTCCTTACCCAATGCCGAAGGTGCCGAGAATCCGTCTCCACCAGCACAGTGGTCTCTCCAGCACTTCAAACAGCATCCTCCAGTGCGTCTCCCCAATATTGTGCTATCCTTAGACCCGCCACTGCTGAAGGCAGTTTCAGGGCTGCACCTAATTCTGCTATGCCTGACTCGTAGACGAAGGGCAGGAAGGGTTCGCTGAGCAGACCGAGGTTGGCGATGGCATGGATTCTGCATCCTCCTTCCTTCGAGGCACTGGAAGCCTCCAGGGCTTGCTGGAGACCTGCTGGGAGCATTGACCAGCCAAAATGTCTCTGCCATTCGGTCAGATAGACTTTCATGGTTGCGGCAGAGATCTGATCCTTGGACGCTGCGCGGTTCCTCGAGACCAGCAGCGTCGACCTTAGGCTAGAAGATGAGAGAGAGTGTGTGTGTGTGTGTCAGCGCTGCTAGGCCCCCCCTTCCCCACACCACATGGTATCCCCCCGCAGGGGTTTCCTGTGGTGTGGGTTCCCCCCCTGTCCCTCCCTCGAAGATGGTGATCATGATCCCCGTCCACAAGCTCCTCCCGTCCCCTGCTCAAGACTCCTGAATGAAAGTCATTCAGGCACATGCTCGGGGTGACTTTTAACGCACCCAACCGAAATTGCGCTCAGACTGACAACGGTCGATACAAACTGCGAAAGCCGACGAAGGAACATCAAGCCAAACAAGCTTTTGAACCAAATAAAGGCAAAGAACATGCGGTACCCAAGGGCAGAACGGCATGCGAGCCGTGGTGCTACCAACAGTCACATTCGGAATGCGAGCATGCAAGATGCACATCATCGTCATTGTCCTCGGCATCATCGCTATCATCCTCATATGTGTGGGGAGGGGGGGGTGTGTGATCTTGCGCGAGGGTTCCCAAAGAAAATCGACAGTTACAGTACGAGGATGATGACGCGGACGAGCACCATCCCTGTGACTGTTTGCTCGGATGAGAGGCCTGACTTGGCTGCCGTGGGAATGCATACATACATACATACATACATACATATATATATATATAATATGTATCTATCTATCTGGGGGGTGGGGGTGGGGTGGGCCGCTGTGAAGGCCAGCTATATGTATATATATATATATAATAAATAAATAAGTAAATAGTGTAAATAAATAAATATATATATATATATATAGATTTATGCATGCACACATGTGGTGCCCCTCTCCAAAACCCACCTCGATATACATATATATATATAGATATATACATATACACACACACACATATATATATATGTATATGTATATATGTAACGGGTCGGCGTAAGGCCAACAGCCGTCCGTATGAGGATCTCTATATATACATATAATATAAATAATTAATTAACTAATATATATATATATATATATAAGTATATAGTCATATATAAATATAAATATAAATATAAATATAAATATAAATATAAATATATATATATACATATATAAATAAATATATATATATATAAACAAACGAACATATATAAACAAATAAAAATATACATAAATATAACTAAATCATTACATTATATATATACAGATATATAAGTACATACATAACTAAATAAATAAGCAAGTAAGTATTTACATAAATAAATACATAAATAGATATATACATAATAAATAAATAAATAAATATATATATATAGACAAACTGCTTGAAGATTGTTTTCACAATCGGGCCCGTGTCTATTAGCATGGGCCCTGTTCATTAACACGGTCCCCTGAAACCGAGAACCAAGAACCAAAATTCCCAGCAAAGTTTTCTGACAGCGTTTTGGTTCCGGCACATGGGCTCAGGCCCGCGTTAATTAACACGGGGCCCCGGAACCAAGACCAAGATTCCTGTACAACTTTTGGGACGAATCTTGGTTCCCACACGTGCGTCCGTGTTTAACGCGGGCCCATTCCCACCTGCGGGAACCAAGATGCTGTCCGAAAGCTTCTTAGGGAATCTAGGGGACCGTGTTAATCAGCACGGTCCGTGTTAATTAACACGGGTTCAGGCCTGGGAACCAAGATGCGCCAGGGAACTTTTCCGGGAATGTTGGTTCTTGATTCTTGGCCCCGTGCTAATTAACACGGTCCGTGTTAATTAACACGGGCCCAAGCGTGAGAACCAATTCGCCAGAGCTTTCCGAATCCTGGTTTTTGCTTCCTGAAGCTCTGTACGTTAGCCCGCCTTGCACAGCCACGCGGACGGGATCGCCTACGTTGGGCCAGGTATCCCGACACGATCCTTTAATGGACCAGTACCAAAAAGTCAACACAACCTGCTTCGCACCACCGTTGGCACCTTGGGCCAGGTACCCAGACACGGCCTTTTCAGGACCAGGACCATCTAGTCGATAGAGTCCTTCATGAAATTCGTGATCCTTGGTTCATGGCCCGTGTTACTTTTTCGGGCTTAGTGATGTGTTTGCGTTTCAACCATTATTTCTACATGTAGTTCCATCACAACATTCAGAATTTGTAAATAATGTTGCTACGTAGTCCTACTAAGCCGTTAGAAAACCGTGCTGCAGATCCTGAAACCTACCTAGTATACCATGTCCGCGAACTCTCAATCCACGGATCCATACTAAGGAATGTAGTAGCTGCTGGTAGCGGTGTTTGTTACGGTACCAGGAGGTCTTTTCCTTAAGCTCCCAGTTTAGAGTCGGAGCTTTAGGTTGAGGTCTCAGGAAACAACGTTGTTTTAATGGTTGAAGACCTAGATTCGAGATTGTAGAGCTGTAGTTCTCGGTGTACATTGACAGCATTCAGTCTAAGAAATTCAGGGCAGCAGTAGCCAATTTCGGACTCATTGCTGATCTTGTTGTCTAGCTGAGTGCTAAAGCTGTCATTTAAGATTTCAGATGAATGGCTATGGGTTGGGGTCGTTCAAAGTGCTGCCAGAACGATTATAGGTCTGTGACCATAAAGGATTTTTGAGAGTTTAGCTAACAGGTCGTGTAAACAAAAATTGGCCAAACTTTGAGGGAGAGGGTTGCCATCGCAAGGCTTACGGTTGAGGGGCCGCTCGCTGGGCACCTATGAAATACAAAGCTTGGAAGTGGAATCTAATGCAGTGGCCGGACAAACAAATGGCGACTGTATCCCAATGTACTTGTGTTATCTCATGCCCAGATCTTATTATTGTTTGCGCAGGTCTCATGTCTATTAGCTGTTATGTTCAGATCCTTATATTACCAGTATATATATATATATATAGATAGAAGTTCGCCAGAGTCCGCATCTGAACGAACTGAACCGTTATCAAATAACGACTCTCGGTTTTTGGGATTGTCATATAAAGTGTTTTTAAAAATATGCAAAGACTTTACGAACAAATAATTACCAAGTATGAAGATTTCTATGCTATGATGTAACCTTGGTGTTTTTGCAGGTTAAGTGGGCGCACTCTAGAATTATTTCACAGCCAACATGCCGAGGGGGTGGCCTACTGTTCCAAACATGCTGCCCCGCATCGATCGTGAGCAAAATGTGCACAACGATTTGGCGGGGTTACGATTTCCGGAGGCGCAATTATTACCCGTTTGGCTTCTGAGGTGGGTTTTGGAAAGGGGGGTAGCACATGTGATATATATATATATACATATGTGTGTGTACGTGTACGTGTACGTGTAGG